TCAGATCTTCCTGACTCAGAGTCCAGGGCTCTGTCCGAGGCTCCACTTAGTTGCCACAATCATATTCGCACTTGGCTTTGAGGGATGAGGCATTTTAGGTTCAGCCCAGAGGGTGCATCACACTGACAACAGGTTTCCCAAACCCTACCTGGAGCTTGGTCTCACCCCAAATAACAGGAAGCCCAGCCCAGCTACAGGGGCAGCACACAGTAGCAAGAGCACCAGGTCTGAAGGCACAAAGGTAGCTCTGCTAACTGCCTCCGTGAGTAACTTCCAGCAAGTTACTTGTCTCTAGTCCTCAGTTTCCCTCACTTGTAAATGAGAGGGTTGGACTAGATCACCTCTGAGGTCTGTGCTGCCTCCAAATCCTTTCACCTCCAGAACTCTCCCCTCTCCTCCAACGGTGAGTGCCTTAGCTTGCCTACTATTTCAGGGGAGCCCTGCCTATTCTCCACCCACTTTCTTACGTTGGCCTTGCTAAAGAGTATATCACCTCTCCCTTTCCATTTCTGTGACCATAATCAAATAAATAGTGGCATTCTTGCTGGAAAGGCAACCAAAATAATCCTTCCTGGTCACAGTTTCCCTGCATGTATTGTCTCCTTCCTTGAAAATATAAGTTCCTAGAGAGCAGGGACTGTCTTCTCTTTTGTATTTGTGTAATGGGGAACCAGTTGGCCACCGAATCAGTTCCTTAAGGGCATGTGCTGAGTACTCACTGATACAATTCTTCAAACAGAAGAAGCTAGAGAGGGAGCCTACTTCCAAGGGAGTTGTGAGGAGCAATGGAATTATCTTGGAGAAAGATGAGGTATGCATGCACAAATAATATGTAACTGGTGACTGCATGCCCTACATAGGGAGGACTGGGGAAGGAAAGAAGGAAGGGAGGAAGGGAGAAAGGGACGAAGGGACGAAGGAGACAGGAAGGAAGGAAGGAAGGAAGGAAGGAAGGAAGGAAGGAAGGAAGGAAGGAAGGAAGGAAGGGAGGGAGGAAGGGGGGGAGGAGGGAGGGGGGAAGGAAGGAAGGAAGGAAGGGAGGAAGGAAGGAAGGAAGGGAGGGAGGAAGGGAGGAAGGAGGGAAGGAAGGAGGGAAGGAGGGAAGGAAGGAAGGAAGGGAGGAAGGGAGGGAGAAAGGAGGGAAGGAAGGGAGGGAGGGAGGGAGAAAGGAGGGGAGGGAGGGAGGGAGGAAGGAAGGAGGGAAGGAAGGAAGGAAGGACGGAAGGAAGAGAGGGAGAGAAAGGACAAAAACAAACAAGGAAAGATTAAGTACTTACTAATGGGGTAATGGGACCCAGACCCTAAAAGGAAAAGACCATATCTTTGAAAGCAGCCCAGACCCTGAACTCTCCCACACAACCCAGTTCCTGTTGTCTCCCTGGAGGCATCTGGCCCAGCCCAGCACACCTTATCGCATTCTATGTGCCAGGCCTGTACTAAGTACTTCACAAATATTATCCCATTTAATCTTCTAGAAGGATCAAACCCTGCAAGGAAGGTGCTATTGTTATTGTCATTTTACAGATAAGGAAACCTGGGCAAACAGAAATTAAATGACTTGCCCAAGGTCACATAGCTAGTAAAAGTATCTGAGATCATATCAGAACTCAATTCTTCCCAATTCCAGGCTCAGCTCTCTGTCCACAAAGCCACCTAGCACAGGGCCAGCGATGCATCATGGGAATCCACTAGAGAGCTCCCTCCAGACTGATATCAACCCATTAATAACTACTCTTCGGATCCACTCATTCAACCAGTTCCTAAAACACCTAATTGTGTATCATCTAGCTAACGTGCGCATTGTGCTTTTTGGTTGCAAAAGCACTTTGCACATATCATCTTATTGGACTCTCACAACCATGTGAGGTAAGTGCTACTATCTCCTTTTTGCCGATGAAGGAAATGAGGATAAAACGTTAAACGACTAACCCAGGCTGACACAGGAAGTGTCTGAATCAGGATTTGAAAACAGGTCTTCCTGACTCCAAGACCAATACTCTCTCCCTTCCCCACCCAGCATGAAAGGCTATGGAAACATTTCCTGGATGTAACAGTGACCTTGTCAAAAAAGGCGCAGGTGCTGTTTTTGCCTTTCTTTGTATCCCAAGGGCTTGGCACACAGTAAGCTCTTAAAAAATCTGGAAGAAAAAAAAGAGCTTAAAAAGTACCCACGTTCACTACTTTCATTTGACGTGGTACTGGAAATTCCAGCTTTTGCAATACAGAAGAGGAAAAGATATTAAGGGTATTGATATTTGAAATCAAAATGGCAAAATATCATTACTCCTAGACAACAGGATCGTGAATTTAGAAATTCCAACTACTTCAAAAAAAAGAAACAACAAAATCCAAAAGACAGAAGATTAATTGAAAGATCATTTACATCCTTATTAACAACAAAGATCAAGAAAGCATAAAAAGAAAGAAACTCTACTTATAATAACAACAAAAATCATTAACCTACCAAGGAATACACAAGACCTGCGTATGGAGAACTGTCAAAGTGGAATGAACAAAATAAAGCAATCACTTAAAACAAACTGAGAGATATTCAATTTCCATGGACGGATCAGATTATTAAAAGAGTGAAAGAGTTCTCCCCAAATTAATTTATATGTTTAATTCAATGCCAATCAATACATGAGTAAGTTTCTTCATAAAATTAGACATTCATGAAGTAATTAATTTGGAAAATAGCTGAACAGAAATATCAAGGGGCACATTAAAAAGAAAAGCTGAGGAAGTGGTTTTTATAATTCTTAGACTTTAAAATATTTTATAAAATTATCTTCAAAACTATAGGGTCGGGCAAAAATAGAAAAAATGGTCAGTAGAATAGAATGTACACATCAAACATTCAACTAACTGTATAAAAAATACTTATGTTTGACAAACGATTAGAAAATAAAAAGAAAAAAGATTTGTTGGGGACCATTATTTGGCAATTTGGCAGGAAGGAAATTTGGACCCATATTCTTCACTATGTGACCCAGTGAATAGCAACTAGATGAAACATAAAGGGGGATGAAAAAGAGCAAAACACAGTCCCTGTCTTCAGGGAGCTTACAGTCTAATGGCAGAGACAACATACTAACAAATATATACAAATCAAGCCATATATAGAAAATAATTAACAGGGAAGGCTCATGAATTAAGAAGGGATAGGAAAGGCTTTCTGTAGAAGATGGGGTTTTAGTTCAGACTGAAAGGGAAGTCAGAAGGCAGAGTTGAGGAGGAAGAGCATGCCAGGCATAGAGAACAGCCCAAAAGAATGGCCAGGGCCAAGAGATGGAGTGCCTTGTTCATGGAACAGCCCAGAGGCCAATGTCTCTGAATGGAAGAGGACATGTAGGGGAGTGAGGTGTGTGATGACTGGAAAAGTAGGAAGGGACTAGGCTGTGAACAGCTTTGAACATATTTGATCCTGGAAGCCATAGGGAGCCACTGGGGTGGGGGAGTGACATGATCATTCTTGTGCTTTAGGAAACTCTTTGGTGGCTAAATGGAGGATAGATCAGAGTAAGGAGAGAGCTGAGGCAGGCAGACCCATGAGCAGGCAACAGGCCAGGCACAAGGTGATGAGGGCTTGCACTGGAGTGGTGGCAGTGTCAGAGGAGAGAAGAAGGGCGTATATGAGATGTTGCAGGAGTTAAAGTCAACAAGCCTAGGCATAATATTGGATGTGCAGTGGGGGAGGGGGTAAGAGATAGTGAGGAGCTGAGGATAAGGCCTAGATTTCAAGCCTGTGGGATCAGGAGGGTGGTGTTGCCTTTGACAGTAACCTAGGAAGGTGAGAGAAGGGGAAGATTCAGAGGGAAAGATAATGAGTTCTGTTTTGAGCATGTTTCCTTTAAGTGGTACACAGTTTTTGCTGTCTCGAAAGGCAGCTGAAGATGTGAGACTGGAAGTCAGTAGAGAGACTTGAGTAGCTTGATAATCATCAGTCTAGAGATGGGAGCTAACGGGATCACCAAGTGAAGTAGTGTCCAACGGAGGGGGGAAGAGGGTCCAGGATGAAGCCCTGAAGGACACCTGACTGAGTGATTAGGGAGCTTGAGGGAAAGCCAGTATGTATGTTCAAATCCCTCAGTATGAATGCAGGCGCTGGGGAGGAGAGGACAATTGTGAATACTGAACTCTTTGAGGAACGTGGAGAGCCTGGAGGTCTGTAGACAGCAGCCACTAGGATTTTGCTTGGTGGTAGATATGAATAGTATGAACCTCAAAGGAAGAGAGGTTATTGAGTCATGGAGGTAGGCAGAAAATCTAAACGTAGCAATTGAGAGCAAGAAGTATTCCAACTCCCCCACCTCAGCCAGTGAGCCAAGGAGAAAGGATGGCCATGGAGGCTGTTATCATGGGGGAGCCAGGTTTCAGTAATAGCTAGAAGATGGAAGGAGCAGAATAGGAAAAGATCAAGACAAAGAAAAGTTTGATATCTATGGAACAAGCATTCCAGAGCGCATGGTAAAAGGGTTTAATGGTATTTGGTTGAAGCTTGGAGGTAGGGTTGAGGAAGATGGGAATAAGGTACCAAGTAATGGGGTGGGGGTGGGGAATTGGCTTTGGAAGAAATCAAAATCACTGGGATGTGAAGGTATGCCTAGATGTGAAAATGTTCATCAGGCCACCCTCTTCCCAAAGGACATTTGGAGATCCTGGTGGAGGCAAGGGCAACCTAAGATGGGAGGGACATACATGGTCAGATGGTCACTTTTTCAATTCATGAATGAAATTAGCCTATACTTTTTTTAAAAAAGAATTATCTTTTAGGTTTTAAGAGCAAGACTATATTTGCTTCATACAGTAATTTGGGTCACATCACCTTTTTCTTTGTTTACAAACAATTTAATCCATAAGGAATTATTGTTAGGAAAATTCTCTGGTAAATCCATCTGGTCCCAATACATGAGGAGGAAGAGGAGGAAGAAGAGGAAGAGGAAGAGGAAGAGGAGGAGGGCTTTAATAACTTTTCTTTTTAATCTTTGTTGTTGGCTTACTTATTCAATCTGTTCCTTCTTGCTATATCAACTTTGGTATTTTGTATTTTTCTCAGAAGTTGTCCTCTTCTCTTCAGGCTTCCAATGTATTTGCATATAATAGCCTGGAAAAGAAAAGCCTCAGTGGGAGACCTAATAACCCTCTTCAATCATTTAATGAGGAAGAGTGATTAGATTTTCATTGCTTGGCCCCAGAAGGCAAAATTAGGAGCAGGGGAGAGAAGCTGCAAAGAAACAAATTTAGCTTAATGTCCACTCCAGAGGAGTTGAAGCAGATTAAACTGTAATTGGAAAAATATTTAAAAATAAATAAAAATACAACACAATATAGAGAATGATCATTTGTGTTCTTCTAAGTCAATATGGGGTCCACAGAAATCCACTTCTGTTTGAGTTTGACACCAGTGGATTGGATGACCTCTAAAGGCCCTTCTAGCTCTAAGTCTGTCCAGACTAGACTAGAGAGATTTGCATTTTAAAATACAAAAACCATTCTTAGCTTACTGGCCTACTGCCCCTTCCCTAATACAGGCCTTCATTACAGTCTGCATAGATCACTGCAGTAGTCTCTGGATAAACCTTCCCACTTCCATTCCTTCCCCCTTCCAAAAAACAGTCTTGGTTGTTGTTGACCTACTCTTTGTGATCCCATTTGGAGTTTTCTTGGCAAGGATACCAGTGTGATTTGCCATCTCCTTCTCCAGCTCATTTTACAGATGAGGAAATGAGACAAACAGGGATCAGGGTCACCCAACGAGTCAATGTCTGAGGTCACATTTGAACTCAGGTCTTCCTGATTCCAGGCCTGGTGCTCTACCCACTTTGGCCACCTAGCTGCCCCCAGTGCTTAGGAAGCACTTAAATGACCGATTTATCCATACAGTTAGCCATCCAGTCATCTGTCCTTTTGTCTGTACCTCCCTCTGCAAATCTCCTTTCTTTCCCTTTTCACTTGCTGAATTTCTACCCAATTTTTCAAATGTTCCACGAAGCCTAACTGGGTGTCCTAACCCAACGCATGAGGTTGCTATAAACCGTTTCCTCCCTACACCTCAAATACATTGTGCCTAAGGTCTTTATCCTGTAATATTCAGCGTTACAGTTATTTGTATATGTGTTGCATACCCCTTACTAGACTTTGAGCTCCGTCAGGGCAGCAGTCACCTGGCATTCTCTCTGTTGACCCCCATTCTGGAACACCCTCCCTCCTCCACTCCCATTACTGACCTCCCTGGCTTCCTTTAAGTCCCAACTAAAATCCCACCTACCACAGAAAGCTTTTCCCAACCTCTCTTAATTCTAGTGCCTCCCTCTGTTAATTATTTCCTGTTTATCACACACATATATCTACGTATATTTACATACATACAAACATATACACACACACCCAGAGTTAGAGAGAGGGAAAGTTTGTTTTATATGTTTGCTTGTCGTCTCCTTCCACTACAATGTAGTGTCCTTGAGGGCAGGGACTGTCTTTTGCCTCTTTCTGCCTCCCCAGTGATTGGCACGATGCTTGGCTTGGCACACAGTAGACATTTAATAAATATCAACTGATTGACTAATAGTGAAAGATTTGGAGTTTAGTGACATGATATGGGGCTGAAAGGGATAATCACCAAGTTAGACGAGAGAGTCACATCCAAAGAGATCGAAACAGGCTTGTCGTGGGACAAAGTCCATTAATAAGTTAGTTATTTAATAGGGAACAAGTTAAAGTTCCAAACTCTAAATCCGACTTAAGGCACTGTGCTAGGCTGAGGGGATGCAAACACCAAAACAGCCCTGTCCTCAAGGACCTTACACTCTACTGAGGGAAAACAGCCTAGAGCTGTTTGAGGACCTGATTTGTGAAGTCATTGGTATGGCCTCCGCAGAGGCGGCAGGCCACCTTCACGGTGATCCCCACCTATCAGCAATGCTTATTCATTTAGTCGAGGTCAGTTAGCGAATAAACATTTATTCAACACCAGCTATGCGTCAGAGACCGAGCTAAGTGCTGGGAATACAAAGAAAGAGAAACCGCAGTCCCCGCGCTGGAGCAGCTCCCAGTCTAATGGGGCAGATAACATACAAACCTGCACAAACAACTATGGATAGGGCAGATGGTAAATAATTAAGAAGGAGGGCGCTGGAATTAAGAGGGGCTGGGAAGGCATCCTGTAGAAGGCGAGATTTTAGCAGGGGCTTGAAAGGCAGAGATGAGGAGGGAGAGCCCGCCAGGAACGGGGAACGGCCAGAGAAAATGCCCAAAGACAAGAGGGGGAGGGTCTTCTTCGAGCAGCGACCCCCGGGCCAGAGCCACTGGACTCAGGTGTAGTGTACGGCACAGGTGTGAGACCCACCACTCTGCTGAGTGCCGGGCACCAGATGAAAGTAATGGGAAGACAAAGGAAATGTAAGTACAACAAGGCACAGATAATGTTACTTTTTAAAACTAAGTCCGCATGGCCCCACGGGGCGGGCCTTACGTACCTATTGGTGGCCCCTTGTCTAGTGAGTTTGACACCAATGGTGTTAAGGTCTAAGATCTCGTGGAGGAAGCTGACAGCGCTGAGCCTGGAGTCAGGAAGACCCGAGTTCAAATCCTGCCTCAAATTTGCTAGCTGTGACCCTGGGCAAGTCACTTCGCCTTCCTCTGATTCCTCACCTGTAAAAAGAGGTTAACAACAGCGGCCACCTCCCAGGGCTGCTGTGAGGCTCCAAAAGGGATAATCATTGCAGAGTGGCTGGCATTCAGTAGGAGCTGCCTAGGTGGTTCCCCGTTTGCACACAGGGAGGAGCATTCACACGACACAATCACACAGTCCAGTAGCGCTGGCGGGTCTGCTGGGGGCTTTACACGTGGGATCCAGCCGGAGCCTTCCGGACCCCTGCTGGGAGGCTCGGGGCGCTTCGGCGCCCCCTCGCAGCACGGGCTTGAAGGTGGGCCAAGCACTTTAGGAGTTTTTTCAGACTGCAGGACGCCAGGCAGCGGAGGGCAGAGACGTGCCTCGGCCACGCCAGGAGGCCCCGCCAGGTGACCCGCAGCAGGAGCACAGTGATTGGATGGAGGGGTGGGTGGTTGGGTGGGTGGGGGAATGAAAGAAACATCGATCACTTCTCTCCAAGCCAGCAGTGCCCTTTCAGAAGAACTCTGCGCATGCCCGGGGACACGCCCCTTCAGAGTTGAGTGGACAAGCTGTTGCCTTGGAGTCGGCGCTGTCCCCGCCTCCGGTCTGCGGCCACATGACATCCACCACGTGACTCCCAGGTGGACCTGCCCCCCGGCCGGTCCCTTTTTTCCCCTGAGGTGAAAGGCAGCGCAGGCGCAGTGGCGCTCGTCCCCGGCGTCCGTCATGAGGGACCGTAGTTCCCGGAGCCGGAACCGAAGCCGGAGGCGGCGGGGAGCGTGTTCGCCCGGAACCCGGAGGTAACGCCGCAGCTATCCGCCCGGCTTCCCCTGCCCCTCCCCCGAGGACCGGCCCGGGGAGCCCCCGGCCCCGCCCCCCAGGCCGAGCAGGCGCCAGGGGGCGGAGGAGCCGGGCCGGCCCCGCCCCGGACCCTGCCCGGTTTTTCCCACCCCCTACCCGGAAAGTGCGAGCCCCGAGCCCCGGGGTCCCGTGGCCGTCCTCTGCCGAGCCGGAGACTACCGACCGGCCCGACCCCGGCGCTTTACGAACGGGGAAACTGAGGCCCAGCGAGTGGGGCTGGGCCAAGGTCACCCAGCTTGTGGGTGACAGCTGGCATCTGAACCCAGCTCTCATGACTGGAATCAGGGAGTAGCAAGGGTCCGTCCTGTCCGCCCCCGCGGCCTTTCAGGCTCGCCAGCCTCCTGGCTGCCTCCCAGGCCGGGGCTGCCCTCCCTGCTCAAGGCGGAGCCATGACCCCCCCACACCCGTCCTGAGAGCCCTGACCCCTCCTGTTTGTCCGAAGCGTTTGCTCGGTGTCTCCCCTCCCCCGTCAGACTGGCAGCTCCTCGAGGCTAGGGACTGCCTTGCTTTTCTTTAGATCCACTGTACTTACTTAGCATATAGGTGGCACTTAATAAATGCTTGTTGACTGACTCGCTTTTCCATCGAAAGAAGCAGAGCCCTCAGAAAGGATAAGGGCCTTGCCCAAGGTGACACGGGTAGGAAAGTGCTAGAGCTAGGAGGTGAACCCGGGTTCTAGGGTTGGTTTGAAATCCAGAATGCTCCTTGTACTGGGGGGCCGGATTATTTTAATAAATGTTCGGGCAGTCTTGCTGTGGAAGGACCGCCTGGCCACAGAAACCGCCGAAGTGTTTGGAGGAAATGGTGGACCTCAGGAAGAACTGAGTTTTAATGTTGCTTCAGATCCTAGCTGCCATGTGACCCTGGGCAAATTACTTAATCGCTGTCTGCCTCAGTTTCCTCATCTGTAAAATGGAGGCACTAATGGCATCTGCTCCCCAAGATTATTGTAAGGCTCAAATGAGATAATACGGGAGAGGCTAGATAAATGTTAACTATTGTTATTAACAATAATAATAATCCAGAACTTCAGGCTCTAAACTCATCTCTCTCTACTCCCAAAGTGAGATTGGGAGCAGTGCTTTAGGAAGTAGTGAGTCACCTTTCACTGGAAGTGTTGGAGCAGAGAATTTGTACGAGCACTTAGAAGGGGTCTTATGTTCCAAGCTTTAGACTTCAGTTTCATAACAATTCAGGCTTTTTGTTATAGCAAACCTATTAATGAATATCCCCATTTTGCGGTTTCCTTAAACGCTGTCCTAGAGCTTATGTGATTTATTCAGGGTCACATGATTAATGTCACAACTTGGATGACTCTCAGACTCCATGTCTGTAAAAATGAGGGGATTGGACTAGACCTCTGAGACCCCTTCCAGCTCCAGTGATCCTAATTGCTAGCGCTTGGAGACAAACATTAAAACCCAACTTCAAAGGGAATGTAGAGTTTGAAGGCAGGGTTCAAATATGTATGGAATGTAGAGTTTTTCTGGATCCAAGTTCATTGTACTGTCCACCATAAAACACTGTCTCTTATCTTTGAGAACCAGAAGGTGGAAAGAGGTTATCTGGGATGGTGAAGGAACTGGAGAGTATCCCGCTGGAGGACTGGTAGGAATTGTGGATGTTTAGCCTGGAGAAGAAAAGGCTGTGGGGGAGTGAGGTACAGGATAGCAGAGTTATCTCAAGGGATTGTGGTCTGTAAAAGAGATTAGATATGGTCCACTTGGTCCCAGAAAGCAAAACTAGGAGCAGTGAGAGAAGATGCAGAGAGAGAGATTTCGATTTTCTGTATGCAAAAACCTTGCTAACAATTAGAGCTATCCTGAAGTGGAATGGTCTGCCTCAAGGAAAATGAGTGCCCTTTCCCTAGAGGGTCTCATGCAAAGGCTATATTCTTACTTGTATGAAATTTTATAGAGGCTTAGGCTTATTGACTTCTTTGTGATCTGTCAACTCTGAGATTCTTTGACCTGCTTCCAAGGTTTTGTCTAACCCTAAAATACTGTAATCTAGTCTTCAAAGAAACTGTTGCTCCCTGGAAAGAGCACCCACTATTTGGAACCAGAGGACCAAGATTTGCATCCTGGCTTTTTTATTTACTACCTGTAGGACTTTGAACCAGTCAGTTAACATCTCTGGGCTTCAGGTTTCTTAGCTGTAAGATGAGGGGGTTGGATTAGATGACTGTTAAGGGCCTTCCTGCGCTGAATCTATAATCTTGTGATGATTTTTAGGAAATCTAGTTTATTTTTAAAAATGAATATTTTCGTTCTTCCTCTTTGTCAGAGATTGTGAATTTGTGATTATTTTATATTTTGATAACTGTCTTTTCTTTTATTATAATTAATTTCCTTTGTAATATTAGATATTTAATTTTATTCATTTAAAAACATGATTAAAAACATGGAGAAGAGCTCCATGGGCTTCACCAGATTGGGCCGAAGGGGTCCAGTACATGAGAAAGATGAAGAATCTCTGTTCTATGTGGACTTGATTGAAATACCGTTCATCTGTATTAGTTTTTGCTCTTAATTTTTAAATGTCATCTTTTAGCTCCAGTGATGTTAAATTAGATGAGGTGAACTGCTGAATTATTTGTTTTGAAAGAATGAAGGTTCCAGGGAGGCAGATTAGGCCCTGACATGAACAATGTGTGGCAGGAAATGTTAGCATGAAATGGGCCAGATACAAATATATTAGCACAGAATGCTTATTGATTTATGAGATACATGGGGGTTGTGGAGCTCCTTTAATTAATAAGTGTTTGTTGAATTAAATTCTTTCAAGAGCAGAATTTTAAATCAGCTGCTGTGATCCTTAGTCTGCCATTGTTATTCCAAAGTGTTTCAGTTGGGTAAATATTTAAGTGTCTTGCCTCCTGTAAGATGCTAAGCTGGGCTTTAGAGAATACAAAGGTGGGCAAAAGTATGTACAAGTTAGTGAAATAACTTACTCAAATGGCTAGAATATAATTCAGAATACAGTTAATAATAATACACTAAGTTTGCTGGGCTTTCCTCAAAACACCCTTGTGAAGTAAATAATCAAGTAGTTGTATCCCCATTTTACAGTTGGGTAAACTGAGGTCCTAAGATCAGTGACTTCCCATTGTCAAAGAGGTAGACTTTGAATTCTGGACTCTTTTCTTCATAATCCATCCTGTTCTGCACTGTACCATACAACTTTTGGCCCATAAGAGAAATCGAACAAACTGAGATGACATTTGTCCCATAGAAACATAGCAAACCTCCGGATAAATTTTACGTAGGCTTTTTGGGGAATGCTTTGTAGAATGGGGGAGGCAGCAAGTGAGCTGGGCCTTGATGGAAAGAATCATCATTGCTTATTTAAACCACTTTTTTTTTTAATGTTTAGCAAAGTAGGTGCTTTTTAGAGGAGGTACTTAATAATGTTTGTGGAACTGATCAGATGGAAATGTGGAGGAGAGTCTTGCTGACTTGGAGGGTGCAAATGCAGAGGTGGAAAAGGTAGGACGCATTTGGAGGATGAGTAGTGCAGACTTTGAAAGGGTGTTAGGAAACAGATTTGGGGAGGATAGATGGTAGTGGAGTCTTGTGTGTTAGGCTAAAGAGGCTTTTATTTGTTTAATCTTGTAGGCGTTCAGGAGCCACAGATGCTTTTTGAGCAGGAGAATAAATGTGATCAGTGCAGAAGATTTATTTTGGCTCTAGTTTGAAGGATGGATTGGAGAAGGGAAGAGACTGCGGGTAGGGAGACCTACCACAAGGCTTCCGGGAAGAGGCGATGAGGGGCTGGCCTAGGATGGGGGTGGGGGTGGAGTCAAAGGAAGGGCATGGATGTGAAAGAGAGGCTGTGTGTACAGTAGATTCAAGAGTGACCAGTATGTGCAGAAGTCTTGTTTGTAATGTTTCTATGGGACACGTTTGCAATTTGGCAAATGTCTTCCTCTTTTGTTTTCCTCCCAGATGTGTGATTTCTTTGGAGTAGGAAACAAACTCCCTCTGCGCAGGGCGGCAGCTTTCCCAATTTGTAGTCTTACCTGGGGGTTGAGTGACTTTTCCGGGGTCATAGAACCAGCACATGTCAGAGGTAGCACTTGATCTTAGGTCTTCCCAACTCAGACACTCCACCAGATCATGTTGCCACCTTAATCATAGGCGCTTAATGAATGGTTGGTGAATGAAGTGAGCCTTCGTTTTCTCATCTGCAAAATGCAGTTGGACTAGAATGAATTCTAAGGTCGCTTTCAACTCTAAATGAAGTGAGGGAATAGGCAGTAAGTAAAAAATACCTAGATTGTAACTTGACTGCTTTAAATGTGTATTTACTCCGTGTTTTTCCTCTGATGTTTTCATGTGGGATCCTTCTTGAAATATGTGCCCTGGAATTCTGATGCCAGAAATTAGAAACCTGATCAAAACATTCTGTCTGGTTTCTACATCTAAAAAAAGATGTCCAGAGAAAGGTGACAAAAGTGATCAAGGTGATGGGAGGGCTTTTCTAAACGAGCCAATTTAAAATATTTCAGATTCTGGTTCTAACAAAGAAGGCTGAGAGAAGGATATGTTTTCTCAGTGAAATTATAACTAGTGTGTAGTGTGGCGAATGGTTTTGTGCATTAACTCTTATACTATTTTTCTTCCTGCGATAGATCTAAGTTTAGGAGAAAACAAAGTTTTGTGTATGGAACTAATTCAATTATTATCAGCCAGTCGATATGAAAATTTTATACAAATAGAGGATTATTAAGGCTCATTATTTAAGTAGTGGTGGAGGTTGATATCAAATTTTGATTAACATGCTGAATACTCGATGATTATTAAAACAAACTGGGATGTTTTGGAATATGGCCCTGACCTCAGAGAGAACCATTTCCTTTCATGTTTCTTTGTCGCCATTGTTAGAAACAGACCCAAAAACTGAATAGATCACAGGTATGATCCCGTATGACAGTTCTTCTCTTTGAATTGAAAATAATAAAGCATTTGTCTCATTTTCTGTTTCTCCTATACTGAGATACTATTTATCCTTTGCCTGTAGGACAGGTGATTTTAGTTGTTTTTTCCGTACTCATGATAAGTTGTTTTTGTTTTGTTTTTTTGTGTATGAGGCAATTGGAGTTAAGTGACTTGCCCAGGGTCACACAGCTAGTGAGTATCATGTGTCTCAGGCTGGATTTGAACCCAGGTCCTCCTGCGTCCAGGGCAGGTGCTCTATCCACTGCACCACCTAGCTGCCTGTCATGATAAGTTCTGAACTGAGCAGTTCATAGTTACCCTAACTGCACATTT